AAATGAAGTGCTACGTTACCCGAGAGAGTGTGGTGTGTAGATCTATTTGGACTTACGTATCTGAGTGTGTGAATGCAAGTCGGCGGACGGTCACAATGCCTGTCCCCCCTTTGCTCTCCAAGGCCCGCTGCACCAAAGTTATGCGTCGTCACAAACAACTGTTTCAATGCTTTCTTTTACTGGCACCCCCGTCCCTCGAGGCTTGACCTCGCAAGTGCTTTTGGCTATTCAATAACAACTGCACCAGCGTGCCCTATCCTTCGGCTTTCCGACGGCTCCCCACACACCCGCGCATACACGTGCGTCCAAATAAGCACGCCTGCCTAAGGGACAGTTACCACGCCACTTCTTTGGCCAACGCAACAGGGGGCCTTTGCAGGCGACATCCCCTCAGGCAATTGCAACACACCAATAACAGAACACGTGAACCTACTCCGCAATCCTACTTAAGCAACTGCCACCACTGTCTCATGCCCTCTTAGGTCTGGCTGGATGCAGTCAACACTAGCCCTGGTTTTGTCAGTGGTCACTGCCACCTGAGACAGCAATTGGGTGTTCTGTATGCAATAAATTCCCCCCACAAGTGTCTTCTGCCTTATAACTTCCAACCTGGGATTTTTCCTGATAATTGTAATGATCCGAATGCACCCTAGGCCGCTACAAATATCAGTGAGTCAAAACCCGCTCGCTACGTAGCTGCGTGTTATTGAGGCAGTAGACATGTGAAAAGTACGCCGAATAGCACAGCTGGCCGTCCGACATAAAGTCACGGTCTGGGTTCAGGCAAATACAATCATTAACAGTGTAAGTTTCGAAGGTTAGGAATACTACCACTATTCCCTTACGATATCCACGTTTTCTGCAACATTTGGAACTTGAATAAAATTAAAGACAAAACAGTATTCATGAGTAAGTGTTCTCAAAACTTAATTAAAAAAGTTTAACCCATAAAAAGAATATTCAAAAAGTCTTTTTATCTGCTGGAATGTTTAAATTGACTGTCAGGAAGATATTGGGGGATGTAACGAAGGCTTTGGAAGAGGCGTTCAGTCAGAGTACTTTTACGATTGGTGAGTCAACTGCGTAGTCTGCTTGCGAGTCATCATCATCTAGAGAAACGGTTTCCACGTTCTCTGTATGTACACCAATGAGTACTTCGTACAAAATGGCCCCAATCACCATACCGATTGTAGGTGCTACTAACGCCACCCAAAAGTAGTAGTCATCAGCTTGAAAGGCCGCCAGACCCCAGTCTAAAAGTAAAAGAGAAATTTAGTCCAGCAATTCCTTGGCTTTTGGTTTGAAAATGTCAAGAGGCTCAATGACAACGATAGAA